GCTCTGGCATGGCCTGTGGACTGTTTCGTCTTCCCAACCTCAACCCCCTCGCTCCCTCCATAAGGGCTGCCCCGTGGTCCTCAAGACAAAGTCCTGCCTCAGGCCCCTTCCCTCTGCAGGGCTCACCCTCACTTGAGGCCCCTTTTCCAACACCCTGCCCCCTCTCCCTGCTTCCTCCCTGCACAGCATTTACCACGCCCTGACCACAGACCAAACAGCTCTAGTTTGCTGTATCTTCCTGGCCCCACTGGAATGCACCACCCAGGAGGCCAGCACCTGGGCTGTCTTTTCACTACCCAGTCCCTGAACCTAGAGCACAGCCTGGCATAGGTAAAACACATACATGTTTTCTGAACGAACAGAGGAATAGATAAGGGGCGGGAAACGATGGTTCAGCACTGAATCTGGCTCACTGCCAACTCTTACAAATACTTTTACTGGAATACAGCCGTATGCATTCACTTACATATCCATAGCTGCTCTCACAGTGGTGGAGTTGGTAGTTGAAACAGAGACTGGATGGTTCATAAAGCCTAAAATATTTACTGTGTCCCTTTACAGAAGAGTGTGTGTCCCTGGGATGCATGGATGGACGGTGGATGCATGGTGGATGGTAAATGGATGATGATAGATGGATGGTGGAGGGATGCGAGGGAGTGAGGGTGGGAGGGCAGAAATAGTGGGATGGATGGAAGATGGGAAGGAGGAAGGAAGGATTGGTGAAGAAATGGATTGGTGGATGGATAAAAGAACCAATGAACCAGCTACCAACCCCAGGAGGGGAAAGGGGTTGAGGAAAAAGCGTCCCAATACCTCTCTTCTGAGGCAGTCATGACAACAGCAATGCTAACTTCTGTGCCGGGCACCAAGGCTGAGCATTCCTGCATCACATCTTTTTTAACTGTCACCATCACCCTACATCCTGGAACCTGCTGCTGCTTCCATTCCTCAGATGAAACACCGGAAGCTCAGAGAGGAGATGTGCCCTGCCCAGTCACCCAGCAGGCAAATGGAAGAGCCACCATACTGGCGTCTGGTTGCCTCACTCAACACCCCTGCCTTCTGCGGGCACCACCCTCTGTACTGCCCCATCACCACGGGTCCCTGGTCTTCCAGCTGCCCCTTTCCCCAGGGCAGACTCACCCTGGGCAGGTCACAGATCCCCAGGCGGAGGGAGTGCTGCAGCCAGTGTGCGTAGTCTGTACTTCTCCCTAGAAGCTCTGCCGGGCACAAGAGGCCCTGAGGATGTGCTCCAGCATGGCCTCCATAATGATCTTGTCTGGCTGAGATGGCCGATGCCTCTGGAATGAGAGGGCCCATGTGTCAGGGGCTCATCACGTAAAAGAATGCCCATGGCCAGCTGCAGGTGGAGACCCTCACCTAGCAAGAACATGTGCGAGGAATCCACCGTCAGAGCCCTCATCAGCCACAGCACTCCCTTACACTCCGGTGCAGGATTTTCTTTTTTTTGAGACAGAGTCTTGCTCTGTAGCCCAAGCTGGAGTGCAGTGGCACAATCTCAGCTCACTGCAACCTCCACCTCCCAGGTGCAAGTGATTCTCCCACCTCAGCCTCCCAGATAGCCTACAGGTGCATATCACCACGCCCAGCTAATTTTTTGTCTTCTTAGTAGAGACAGCGTTTCACCCTGTTGGCCAAGCTGGTCTCGAACTCCAGACTTCAGGTGATTCCCTGCCTCAGCCTCCCAAAGTCGTGGGATTACAGGCGTGAGACCCTGCACCCTGACCATGGCAGGGTTTCTGCTGTGAGCACTTAGGGGGATGGGTCTAAGAGCCCCAGGAACCCAGATGGGAGGCCGAGAAGAGAAGGGGCTTCCAGGGCCAATTCTCCCCAGTTCTCCATGGGCAGGTTCCTGCCCGAGGCTCTGCAGAACAGTGCTCGGCCCCATGAGGAACACATCAGGTAGTGATGCTGGAGGAGACCTGGTCACTGATGCCTCCATGAATCTGAGCTCCTGATCTCCCTCCACCCCCTCCTGAGAAGCCCATAGCACCCACCTCCTTCCCCATCTGTTTCCAGCATCTCATCCTGGAAACATGCTTTTCTTGTCTTCCAGAGCCCTCACCACATCCCAGGTAGGAAGGGAGTATTGTGCCCATTTCACAAGTGAGAAAACCAAGGAGCACAGCAGAGAAGTAAATTGCCCAGGGTCCCACAAGCACTGGAACTCAAGAACACACAGTCCCAGAGCGGGGCACTCCTGCAGCATGTGGAGCCACGTGGGGGTTCCCTGCCTGGACACTGCTCCCCAGGCATCACCTCGTATGTCAAGTTCTGCCGCATGTGCTGTTGGCCCCAGGATAGGTCGAGCTGTTCAATGAACACTCCTGAGGTCTGTGTTAGGGCCCCGCAGGCCCGGAGGGGTTACAGGCCCAAAGTTTCCTGGAGCAGATAGGGAAGAGAATAGGGTACATGACCTGGGAGGAGGGGCAGCCGAGAAGCCTGGAGCAAAGGGGAGCCCCACACTGGGCACGGCAGCCAGACCCCACATACCTGTCCCGGGGAGGCAGCCAGGCAGCCATCCCAGGTGGTGCTGTGTGCTGAGAACCTGTTGGCCCAGGCAAGCTGCAGAGTCACAGGCTGCCCTCTGTTCCAGGTGAGCTGTACTCCATCTCAGAGAAAAAAAAGAGTATGTAAGATTGAGAGTCTCCCTAGGTTGCCCAGGCTGGTCTTCAACTCCTGAAGTCAAACAGTTCTCCCATCTCAGACTCCCAAAGTGTTGGGATTACAAGTGTGAGCCAGTGCATTCAGTTGGGATTTTTTTTTAAAGGTGGTTAATGATAATAAAATGTTTAGGGGAAATCATATTGATATCTGCAACTTACTTTGAAACGTATTCAAAGCTAAGATGGCTGGAGAGCTATGTGATTACGCAAAATAAAATGTGAACAGGAAAATCTAGGTATGTGGGTGTTCAACTGTGAAATTACTTCCATTTATTAGTGTCTGAAAAATTGTATAATAAAATGTTGGAGGGGGGTGCTGGACACAGTGGCTCACGCCTGTAATCCCAGAACTTTGGAAGCCCAAGGTGGGTGGATCACTTGAGGTCAAGAGTTTGAGATCAAGCCTGGCCACCATGGTGAAACCCCATCTCTACTAAAAATGCAAAATTTAGGCAGGTGTGGTAGTGCATGCCTATAATCCCAGCTACTCAGAGGCTGGGGCAGTAGAATTGTTTGAACCCAGTGGGCAGAGGTTGCAGTGAGTGGAGATTGCATCACTGCACTCCTGCCTGGGTAACAGAGAGAAACTCTGTATCAAAAAAAGTTCAAAAACAAAAAATAAATAAAACATTTGTTAGGGAAAGGTAGCATGTGGAAGGAGAATGTTCAAGATCAGGAGCTGACTTTTGGGTCAAATGTGGCCCACAACCTAATTTTGTAAAGTTTTATTGTAATGCAGCCATGCCTATTCACTTATATGTCGTCTAGAGCTGCTTTTGTGTTACAATGGCAATTCTGAGTGGCTGTAACAGCGATCATAAGGCCTGCAACCTCTACATTTCACTTTACATTAAAAGTTTGTAGGCTGGGCGCGGTGGCTCAAGCCTGTAATCCCAGCACTTTGGGAGGCCGAGGCGGGTGGATCATGAGGTCAAGAGATCGAGACCATCCTGGTCAACATGGTGAAACCCC